AGCATGACACAACAGACAATAACTGTTGGCTGCTTTAACATTCACAGTGCAGAGCAGCCAACAGCTGATTCTACTGTTAAACAGTCTGATCAATATTTTATGAATGAATGAATGAATGAATGGACATCACTTTGGACAAAAGCGTCTGCCAAAGGAAACTGTAGAATCGTAGAAGCAGCTCTCATGTTTCTCTAAAAGCCCAAATCCCGGTAATTCTAACTGTTGATCAAAGCCAGAGGTTGTCACTGGAGCCAGAGTTCTGCTGTTTGACTGTTAGAGACAATATTCAGATTCATCCAGACAACCTGAAGTCAGCTCAGACCCTGACCAGGTGAAGCTGCTCACCTGAGCTTCATCCACTCCAACAGCAGAGACTGAATCAGACACGACGACTTTTGAGCAGCTAAACCAGGACAAATGCAACCTTTGAAACAGACTCTGCTGATGATCACAGACTGAACTTGTTTTTCAGAAGACAACTCATATTTCAGTTTGTGCAGCAGCTTTATTATGACAAAGTATGAAAACTAATGTACAGAGCAGCATTTATAAATCATCAGACGTTAAATACGAGGGCTGATGGCAGGAAGTGAGTGTCTCAGTGGGTCTGAGCCGGAGACGAACAGATGAACCCGTGTTCAGCTTCAGCCGAGCAGCTCGTAGAAATCCAGCTTCTGGGGCTTCGAACCAGCACACAGTCCGAGCCGACGCCGCCCTCACTGCGGCCCGACGGCGCCACCTGCAGCCAGGATGCCGAGCGACCCGGAGCTCCGGACTGACCTGAGGAACAAGGTGGAAGAGTCAGACAGTTCTGAAGGGTTCTGCTGAACGTCTGGGTTCTAACAAAGTGGAGAATGAACAAGCAGAGCTGATTGGTCGGTTAGTTAACAGGTAGATGCTGTCCAGAGATCAGTTCATGGCCTGAGCCTTCCTGAAGCAACATCAGAGCTGCAGCAGGAGTCACCTGGTTTCATAAACTGATCCTGGACGAACCACTGTTTATTACAACTAAATAATTAACACCAATTAAACAACACAGGTTCAACAGGAAGAGGAAATAGCATGACCAAAACAGGACATCCACCAGAATTTTTAACAAAATAAAAGCGCCATCCAAAACAAAAATGTAAAAGGACGAAAAAAAAAAAAAAAGTACTACTTCTTTTTTTTTTTTTTACAAACTGCAAGTTGCTGTTTTCATCGTGTAGTTTAATTTGTGTTAATTATCTATTTTTAATCAAACCAACATCATCTTTGGTGAAACAGCAGTACCTGTCTAACACCAGGCGGATGAAACACCTGCATCACAGAACAAATCAGAGGATTTACTGGTTTCTATCAGTGCTTCCTCACTAACTGAATGTAACAGTGAATGCTTTACAGAATGACAAATAACAGAACTAATAATGAATGACGCACCGATCCAGAAGGGCTTCCTCCCTGCGAACCTCCACAACCAGCTCAGGTCTCTCCTGGACTGGACGCTGGTCAGGCTGCTGTTGAATCTGGAGAACAGAACCAATGTCACATGATTAACATCAGACAGCTGATTGGACAGTTTGTGTCCAGCTGAGCAGTAAAAAGGTTGAAATGTCTTTGTTGTGCAGCTACAGCTCTACGTTAGTCAATCATGATAAAGCCACGAAGACATATAATGTAAAACGGATCTGGTTGCTGTTCTAACAGAACTCACAGGTGCTGGACGGACTGGTTTCACCTGGTCGTCATAATAAAGACCCATCATGCTTCATACAGATCTCTGAATCATTAGCAGCTTATAAACACAGACATGAGATCAGAGGTTCAGAGGAGCCGGAGAGCGTCAGGTGGACGTTCAGACATGGAGAGCCTCCAGGAACTGATAAAGACATAAAGTGAGTTAATTGTGAGTCCAGGTCCTGAAGCAGGTGTTCAGTGACACTTACAGCAGAGAGCAGGTTCTGGCGGCGCTGGCCCAGCTCGCCACCGACGGACCGGTTGTGTAGCAACGCCTCCTGTAGTGGGTCCAACCGTCAGCACACAAGCTGCTCACCGACCGACCCG